AAATGTCTTACACCTGGACACAGGAATACAGCTGTGAATGGGAGAGCCATGGATTTCATACTTTTGTCTAAGGTCTTAGGGGGACACAGACATCTAATAAATAACAGGATGATATGACATTCTTCCACTTTATGAAATAGGTGTGATAAAAATTAGAACAGGAGAACATGGTTTAGAGTGGTTGGAAGGAGGGACAGTGTGTGTGTGTGCGTGTGTGTGTGGGGGGTCATGGTGGCTGTAGAATGCATTCCTGAGGAGGTCCTATTTACTCTGACCCAGGAAGGATGAGTGTTATTTAGTCAGACAGATTGGTGAGAAGCATCCTAGCCAGAGAGAAAGTGGTAAAAGCTCTGAAATTCATTTTTACCCCTCAGTGTCCACACCCAGACTTAGTTCCCATTAGGTACATAAGAGCATATGGAATTAAGTCTCCTGTATTGTATTTTCTCCAACAAGCCATGTGGTTGGGACTTCAGTACACTTGTTGTTGATGGATTAAGGTGGCTTGTTTCATCATGACACATATGTCCTTGAGTTTCAAGAATAAGTGTGGACTTAGTGAATCTGGAATCAGTCCAGAAAAATACAGTTTCAGAGTTTAACTATGCCTTCCCTGTGTCATTTGGGCCATTCTCTCTTTACCTAAGTGTCTCAGAAGACACTGTGTTAGATGTTTTATAAACTAATGCTGCCTGTGGTTTGCCTTACCTTTTTGTCCAGAAGAAATCTTTAATACTGGACCAGGGCTGACTGTCAAGAGGCATTATCGTGCTTCACTTATAGCATACCAATTCCAGTTAGAAATTTCTACGTTCTAATATTGGCTCCACTGCTTCCTGAGATACTTTAACCCTCATTATGGGTCAGTCTTCCCTTCCTTGATGTGGGGATAATAATAGTTTCTTTCTCACAGGTTGTGTGAATATTAAATGATATCAGGAATGTGAAGTGGTACATCAATGTTATTATTTTGGTGCATAAATTGGTACATAAAGTATTATAACTGTTATAACTGTAGTAGGGTTTCCCTATGTATTGATGGGTTTAAGGTTCCTATTTCATCTCTGTCATTTCTACCTTGTAGGATATATGAATGTCACTGAATTTTAAGTGTAAATGTGAAACTACTAATGAAATAATTTGTTTCTTTACTGTGATACATGCTTTTTAAAAAGGGAAAGCAAATATCAGTTTGAGTTTCTTCTTATTCTAAAGAATGAAAATCATATAGAGTTGGTCAACTGATGAAATCAAATACACTTGATTGTTTTATGAGCTTGCGTAAGTTGACTTACTTCAAAGGGCTTTGACTATCTCGTCTTCACAGTAAAGGAGTTAGACCAGATAATTGTACTTTTTTTTCCATCTAAATTTGATTCACTTAAGTATTACCATGTAGGTAATATTAATTAGATACTATTTGGTCATCTTTAATATGCTAGATGACCACTGTTAACTTACTCTTTAGCTTTTCATTATGAATCATGGGAAATCGAAGGACATCCTTATTCCTACTATACATATTCTTAGGCTGCATCGTGAGTCTCAGAGGTTCTCATCCTAGATCTGGGTAGTCTGGTGGCTCTAGAACACTGGTGACCTTTAAAAAAAGTCCTTCTTTAAGTTGTCCCTGGAAAGACATCAGGCCTTGAGTAAGACCTTCTATCCTCTAACCTGACGGAAGGTCATAGCCAAGAGCACTGAGTTACTTTGCTACTTCCCTATACTTCAGAAGTGTGACTGAATCAATTCTAAGGACAAATTGCTCCATAGGACTGAATAAAGTATCATTGTAGGTCACAAGGATTGTGTTTGTGAGAAAATTGAAATGTAGACAAAGAGGGTCTACTAGGAAAGGAAACACTTTTGATTTCTCATTTATTGAATCAGGAGAGAGGGACATTAAAACTATCTCCATTTATAGTTATGTCACTGAAGATGTTCATTGTAACATTTTAAAATAGCAAAAAATTTTAAAAAGCAACAACATTGGAGGATAATATAGACTAGTATACATCAATTAAAATGATCTTTATAAAGTGCTTAAGTTTCAGGATTTTGAAATGAGCCAGAAAATTTTGCAGAAGACCCCAATAGCACAGGAAACAAAAGCAAAACCAGTCAAACGCCATTAGCAAAGGAAATAATCAACATAGTGAAGAGAGAATCTATAGAGTGGGAGAAAATATTTACAAGCTATACAATTGACAAGGGATGATATCCAGAATATATAAAGAATTAAAAAAACTCTGTGTGGGGGGGACCAAATAACCCATTAAAAATGGGTAATACGGGGTTGGGATTGTAACCCAGTGGTAGAGCGCTTGCCTAGCATGTGTGAGGCATGGGGTTTGATCCTTAGCACCTCATAAAAATAAATAAATAAAATAAAGGCATGTGTCCATCTATAACTTAAAAAAATGGGTGAATGGGTGATAGACCTTAACACACATTTCTTAAAAGAAGACATAGAAATGGACAACATGTACATGAAAAAACTGCTCAACATCACTAATCATCATGGAAATTCAAACCAAAATTACAGTGAGATGTCAACTTACTCCAATAAGACTGATTATTATCAAAAAGGTAACAACCACTGGAAATACCATGGAGAAAAAGGGACTTTGTACACTGTTGATGGGAATGTAAATTAGTATATCCATTATGGCAAACATCATGGTGCTCCTGCAAAAAATTAAAAATAGAACCACCATATGATCCAGCAATCTCTCTCCTGTGTGTATATCCAAAGAAAATGAAATCAGCATGTAGAAGAGATATCTGCAGTTGTATGTTCATTGTTGCACTATTCACAATAGCCAAGAAGTAGAAATAACCTAAGTGCCCATGAACTGATGAAAAGAAAATGTGGTACATATACATCACGGAATACCACCCCACCATAGAAAGAATGCAATCCTGTCATTTGCAATGATATGGATGAAAATGGAGATCATTATGTTAAGTGACATAAGCCGAGAACAGAAAGAAAAGTACCCTGTGATCTTGCTCATATGCAGAATCCAAAAAAAAGAAAATGATTACACAGATGTTGAGACGAGAGTGGTGGTTACTAGAAGTTGGGGAGAGTATGAAGGAGGGATGGATGAGAAAAGGCTGACCCATGGGTACTAAGCTATAGTTAGATAAGAGTAAGAAGTTTTGATGTGCTAATGCATAGTAGGGTGACTATAGATAGCAATAATGTACTGTGCATTTCAAAAAGTTAGAAAAGATTTCAAATTTTTTCATCATAAAGAAATGATAAAAGTTTGGGGAGACATATACTTAACCTGAATTAAACATTATACAATGTATACTTGTGTCAAAATATCATGTAATACCCTATTTGCCAGTAAATGGATGGAGTTGGAGAATATCATGCTAAGCGAAATAAGCCAATCCCAAAAAACCAAAGGCTGTTTTCTCTAATATGCGGGTACTAATTCACGATAAGGCGTGGGGCATTAGAGAAGAATAGCATTACCTTAGATTAGGTAGAGGGAAGTGAAGGGAGGGGAGGGGAGGGCATGTGGGGATAGGAAAGATAGTAGAATGAAACAGACATTATAACTTTATGTATATATGTGACTGCATGACCAATACGATTCTACAACATGTATACTCAGAAAAATGAGAAATTATATCCCATCTATGTATGATATATCAAAGTGCACAACATAAATGCATTCTACTGTCATTATAACTAATTAAAACATAAAAAATTAATAGTAAAATCATGTAATACCCCATGAATATGTAGAGTGTTTTATGTACTAGTTAAAAATAAATTTAATTAATACATGTACTTAAATCACATTGGAAAATGTTTAAGATATAAGAGATAATAATATATATCTGTTGAAAAACTATAAATAAAACATGATAGCAAATGTGTAAAAATCTTAAAAGCCAGATGGAAAGCAGTGGATCAGAATAGCAACTGTTTATATATCAGGTGAGGAGATTATAGGTGAACCTTGATTTAATGTGTATTTCATCTTTAATATGTATTTCATCTTTTACTTTTATAGTAAGAATAAAAGGCAATACAAATCATTTTTTAAAAATCATACACAAAATCGCAAAGTACAGTAATTATATAAAGACCAGATTATCAGGAAAAGAGAAAAAAATTACCAGAAAAGTTCTGAGAAAGCCATTGAGTACCAGACCCTAAAGGAGGCACCAGGGGAAGAGAGTGGAGTGGGCGGTGCTGGTGGAGAGAGAGGTTCTATCTGCAGAGGACCTGGAAGTGGGAGGGGCAGTGGGCTCCTTGAGGAACCTGCTGTGAGGCTACTTCTTAATGGTCTGCCACTCAACATCAAGTGGTTTCCTGAGGGACATAGTGAGCATGAGATATCAAGGGGCTTTTGATTACCCACTGTCCCTCTAAGAACATCAGATGTCTTCTGACCTCTTTGCTTAAGGAACCTCCGGACCCTCAGCTGGCTGAGTGCATGTAAGCAAAATCCATTTAGCCAAGTTCCTAGAAGTGAGCTGGGAAAAGCTTGGCATCAACCTGGCACTGAGTGCTGAATGTTCCATAGGGCTATCCGATAACCAATACAAACGTTTTAATTCCTAACATTTATAACTCCTTTAAACACTTAACGCAGACATTTCTTCACTCTTCAGGACAATTCTCGGTGTAATTTGTACCTGGTTTATTCCTACCTTATGAGAACTTCTCCTCTACAAGGGGGCTTGTTTTTTTTCTTATAACACCTTGTTTGTCTATGCTGAAGTCCCTGCTGGATATCAGGCACCCATTTTTCACAGCTCTGATACCTATCAATAGGAAATAATTCTCACGAGCCCATCACGTAGTGACCAGTGCACTTTTTCAGTGATAAGAAAAGTCTCACCTTTCAAAGAAGAGACAAAAATCTAAAGTCATCAAAACAATGTAACATCTGGTATGAAAGTCACAGTGCCCTGTGGTTTGGGTCCCTTGATCATGTGCTCTAAGGAAGTGAGTTGGGGGTTTCCGTAGATGACGGAGACTCTCAGGCCGAGGCAGCTGTGTCTTGAGTTCACTTCACACTTTGGGTTCCTCAGGGAGGAGGGGCTGGAGCCCTGGCCCTTGTTAGGACAATGATGTTCAGGCTGCTGCTCTTGGCTCTCAACTTCTTCCCCTCGATTCAAGTAACAGGTAAACGATTTTGATTTCTTCCTCCTCTAGGTTTTCTTTTGTGTCCTTGCAATCAGCGTGGTTTATGTTAAATTTGAAATAACCTGTGAAATTAGTAGTTTGGCTTTCATATGGTTACCTTTAATTTAGAAACTCCTTGATTCTCAGAATACAGAATGGTTCTTTAACAAAAGTTCTTTGGAAGTAAAGAAGCTTTTACTTAGCTGCTAGTTGATAATGTCCCAAGAACTTTTAGCGTATGTACCTTTTCTCCCCCTTTAGTTTAAGAAAACTGTTTCAAGTAGGTTTGTTCTGAAAGCTTTGAATTTAGATTGCCTAGGCTCACATCACAGATCCAATTCTTATTAAGTGAGTCGTTGCTGGTATTTAAGATTTTCAAACATCAGTTTCCTTAACTATGAAATGGGAATGATAATAAACCTCATCTTAAGGCCATTGTGAAGATAAAATGAAATAATCCAAATGCAAAATGCTTGGCTAGCAAGATCAGTGTTGGTTTTATTACTATTACTTACCTGAATTACTATTACTATTTCTATCTGAATTGAATGAGTTCCCAAGTGAATCCTAGAGTCACCAGAGAAGCTGGTACAGTGCAAATACTAATAAGTTAGTATTCTTTTACTATTGGCTGAAGTCTGTTTAGATTAAAAGTCCTTAAAACCCAGTAACTACGATGAGGAGTATGATACTTCCGACACTTGCAAGCGCCTACTTGGAGCATTGTCAATTGTTACAGCCAGGAGGTAGTTATCACAACCAACCCTTGCAATATTTCAGATCAAGAGACTGAGGGGTAGGAATGTCAAATTCCCCAAGGATTTACAGGTTCCAGTTGTTGAGGGCAGAGTCCAAACCATAATAGCTTGACTCCAGAGCCTGTGGTCTTGAACCTTAGGCTATTTCACCCAGCATGACCTGATTTATAATTGCATAGACCAGGATAAATCCATGTAGAATCATCTTCTGAAAACCGCAATTTCTAACAGAAAAAGCTTGTTTGGGAGGGTGGAGTAATACATTCATTCAACTTGTTCTTGGAGTTAGAAAAGGGTCCTTACCTTTGCTCAAATATTGGACTGATAGGAATAAACAGGTGTGTTTAAGTAAAGATTGTTATTTATTTATTTATTTTTCCCTTGGAATATCTTTTGCAGAGCCAGCATCTTCAATTTTCTTTCTCATTTATTTTGGTGGCACAGAGACTACAAGATCTGTTGGTGGTGTTCTTAAACATCAATTGTGTGCACTGCAAAGAGTATAATTTCCCAGCCTGCAGAAATACAATAGTTACTTATCTGTTTTCGTTGTCTGATATGCTAGTGAGCACAAACTGTGCATATTGATAACAGGTGTTGATATAACAAAAGACATTGGCTGGTGACTGGTTATCCCTGGTGTCTAGTACCAACCATTTAGAGCTACTGAATACATTCTAAAAGAATTTTTAAAAATTTATTTTGTGAAGTTTTTTTTTTCACTTCATGTTTAAGGGATCTTTAGAATTTATTTTAAAATAATATTTACAATGTCTTAATTTATTAGACAACAAGGGACTGACCCAAAACTATTTACCAGTAGTAATTGTACACAAAATGCTTTTCTGATGTGCTTTGTGAACAATCATCTGTCATTAATTCTTCCACTCGCTTTTGAAGATTTTTTTTGGTAAGACTCAAAGCTTTGCATTTTCCTCTTTAGAACATTTATTAAAAGGGTGTAACTAAAAAGTGGTTAGAGATTTCACACATGTGGAACATTTGTTTTCTACATTAAGATACATTTGCTTTTGAAATGTCAACTCACTTTCCTAATAACTTTTAGGATTTGATGCTGTGTGGCCATTAATAAAGTTGAATGGGGTGAGCGTAGAGGCCATACTTTGAAATGCCTCTTTCAGTAAAAAAACACTTGTGAGAAAAAAGATAATTTCAACATATGAAAATGTCTGCTCCGTTCTAATCAAGTGCTGTAAAATCTTCCTTGTGTTTTTTATTTCTTTTTGTTCACCCCCCCCCCATAAAGTTATAGGTAAGGAAATTCTCTGGTGAAAATGCAATTGTCATCCTTCGAATTGTAAGAAGCTACTATTGTCTGTATTGAGGTGTGTGTGTGTGTGTGTGTGTGTGTGTGTGTGTGTATGTACATATGAACAGTTCATTATTAATACTGATTTAATAATTCTAACTCACTGGTTCACAGTGTGGCTTGAAATACCTATTTTATGATGATTAAGCCTCACTTTACTCTTCATGATTTCGATGGTCCTGTAGGAAGATCTTTATGGCTAAATTAAGGAAATGATTGAGGCAGAGTGAGGCAACCTTAACTTGGACAATTTCTTTGCTAAGGCTGCATGCTTTCTATAATTGTGCAACTGAGATTCACAAGTATTAGGATTTTGTTGGACATTGGACTATGAGTCCAGCCTGGAACAGCAGGCCTCTGGAAGAAAAGGATTCATAATTAATGGTAGAAGGGGTGTATATGTAGGTAATACCTGGCATTGTTGATACATTTTTCCAGCCAACACTGGTTATTTTTCAGCAAACTGATCATTCTGTATGAAGATAAAAATCAGGTATCACTCCTTATTTTTCCACAAGAGTGTTTCTTTTAATTTCTTCCCAGACCTAGGCAAAAAACTGTTAAATGACCAGTTTGGACAAGATTAATCTCTCTAATGCTGCTGCATTTCCCCAGCACTTCTTTGTCTTAGAGAGGCACAGAAGGCAGGAAAATGATTGACATTTAATAAAAAAAAAAGTCATACCGGCAAAACAGAGCAATTAAAAACTTTATCCTTAGTTCAGTCTCCAGCAAATGACTCCTCTGCAGTAATTTGTACAAAGAAAGAAGTAATTTACTGCTCACAGTTTAGTGTTGCTCTGGGGCTGGGCTTGGGAAAGTAAGGTGAAAAGATGAACATTGAAAAATACAATGTAATCAACAGTTTGCTGTGTTTACCTAACTTCCAACACACTGCAGCCAGTTTTTCTGACTGTTAAAAAAGAATTGGGTCTCTTGTCAGTTGAAATAAATTTGATGGATGTTTTAAAAATGTGGGCATTGCTTAAGCATTTATTTTACTCTACCACCATGCTCTAAGATAATAAATTACCTTATGATTTTTTTATTTTTTAAAGCAACCACCCAGCAAGGGCTTTTACATCAAGGACCATAAAATTAATATCGATATATCAATTCCAGGAAATTGAATGAGTCATTGCCACAGATAGATTAGAAATAGAAATGAATCTGTGATCAGAACTCTGAAGTGCTCACATGCTATGGGTGGGAGGAGAATCTCACTGCCTCCCTTTCATTAGAGGTAGACCCTCTTTTTCTTGTCTTTCTTCTTTTCTTGAGAAATTTCCTATGATTACCATGTGGCATGTCCCTTGCATGGATATCTTCCTTCAAGTGTTTCCTGCAGGCAGTGCGCTGACCTTTACAAAACAAAAAATTTGATGCCATAAAAATCCCAGCAGAAAATGCCATTTGTGGCTTATCTAAAACAATAGCTCTTTATATTAACTAATATGGGCATTGATGAAGATCACGATTCATTTCAGCCTTCCTAAAACTCAAAGGGCAGGTACTCTTGCAAAGCACAATTAATTATTTTACAGCAGTCGTCGTTGCAAGGGATAAAATCTTTTCATCTTTGATAAGTTATTGTTTACTTTTTCTTTACAGAGGTTGTACCGTTTCTGTAGAGAGTTTAGCCAATCATCAGAAAAAAAATAACATCTGGGTGGTTTTTGACTGACTGGAGGAGTCTCTGATTTTCTATGCTGTGTGCAAGTATCTGTGTGTCTCTTTTGTGGTGATTTCATGAACCCTTTTCGGTTAGTGTTATGGTATTAGTACCATCACCACCAAACCAACCAACCAACCCATAAAAAGCTAAGAAAAGAACAAAAACCCCAACATACCCAGACCTTTTAGTCTGAGAATTGTTACATGAGAATCAGTCCCTGACGCCATAGGGAAGACATCCCAGGTCCAGGCTTGTTTGCAAGCTGGGTGTCCGGTGGTGCATACCTGTAGTCCCAGCTACTCCAGAGACCGAGGCAGGAGGATAGCAAGTTTGAGACCAGCCTTGTGAACTTAGTGAGACCCTGTCTTAAAAATAAAAAAGGGCAGGGGATATGTAGCTCAGCAGTAATTCACCCTCAAGTTCAATCCCCAGTGGGGGCAGGGCAGAGGTGTTTGCAAAGTGGGTGTTTAACATTTTGCCTGTTACTCTCATTTTGATGACTCGGAACTCTAGAAGAGAGGTGTGCTGGTTGGGATCAAGAGCTACCCACTTGCTTTCTCTCTGAAAAAGGAAGTTTCAAACTCTTTGGCCTTAGTAATTCAACTAATTTCATACTTGGTCTGTTTGTCCATCCAAGTTATGTGTATTTATGTTCTCTTTGCTAGCGGAGAAGCTTCCAGATGGTGGAGAATTTCTTATTTAATTCTTTTCCACTCCTTTATCTCTAAATCACCATTACCATCATCTTTTTCTTTGTCATCATCTTCATTATCTTGGGGACTCTGGCTGACGAGGTAACTAGGTTAATGGTTCCTGATGGTATCATTCACAATTACTCACAATTTACTTTTAGTCTCTAATCTAATTGTAAGTCCCTCTCCACAGCATCTGAATCACCTCATTAGCTTACAATCCACCATACAATGTACAGATTACACCAGCAACCCATCCCACATTCTAACGATGATGACGTATGTTCCCTTACTGAGAACATGGGTGGGTGTTTGAATTTTTAAAACTTTGCTGAAAAAGTAGAAGGTTGTATACTTGACACACAATACAGTGTTAGAACATCACTTAGCTGCATTTGCAGCCTGTTGGACCCGATGACTTACTTTTATATCCACCTCCCCGAGGAAGCTTTTCCAGGATAATTCTGCCTTTATTATGGACTCAGAAGAGAAGTTTCTATGGGAGTGTAGCTCACTTTAGTAAATATTTATTAAACCTCTCTTGC